AGAGATGGTATTAACTGAAGATTGATTGATTCCCTTGGCATCATCATCTAATTTAACAATAAAGTTGTTCTTTTCATTGGTTTGCGATTGCTTCTGTTCTAATTTCACAACTCTAGCTTTAAGCTCAGCATTTTCAACAGCAGTATCTTTATCGTTCTGCTCCAGTTTTGCAAATCTGAATTCATGTTCTTCCAAAGCCTGTTTTAATTTTACGTTCTCAGCTTTAAGTTCGATGTTCTCAGCCTCAACTTCGGAAAATTTTTTTCTAAGTTCAGGAATCTCGGCATTCTCTTTTCTAAGTTCAGTAATCTCGGATGCAAGCCTAGAGTTTAACTCTCTCAAGGTATTGATTGTTAATTGATCGTTCGACATTGTTTTATTACAAAATAGGATATATTCAAAAGGTTAATCACATGAAATAATATTGATATAAAAAATCGTGCTTTGCTTTATTGATTATAATAAAAATCGAAAAGAATCGATCTATCTATTGTTCTATACTATTGACTACACTGCAAATTTTTCGTTTGTCTAAACTATCTGTATCAACACTATCTATAATCTGGCTTCATGTTATCTATTCTGAATAAAATAAAAACGGTCATCAGTTCTATACAAAACATGCAGTGTCAGAAGTTGAATTAACAAACCCACGTTATCTGGCCGTAAATTAATTTACCTTTTTTCGGACCTGAGAGACAAACCCGATTAAAGTTTGTTTTTTGCAATGCTAATAAATTTCTCGGAAATCTGTAAGAAAAAATAGTCATTAGTTTGCAACCCATAAGCTCACAACCAAAATATTCATACCTTAACTGCATGTTCGGAACTTTCGCCAAAAGCAAATTATTGATCATTATTTCTAATTGTAGAATCTGATCGTAAAAACTTTACTTAATCATTTAGACCCGCTTTAAAGAAAGAAATCTCACTTTTTGATAAAATGCATTATAGTGTAACGGTAAAAATCAGGCGAGTAAAATGTAACCAAGTGTTTTTTTTAGATTATTCACGTATTTTGGTACATTAACAATGAAAACAAACTATTTCTCAGATACTTCAGATACTCCAGATTGGAAACTACTAGATTTTTTGAAGTTCCGTCAGAAAGAAGAAAGCTGGACAGCAAATAAGCAGAAAGAGTATTATACATATATTTCGACTTTACGCAGAATGGTAAAAACTGATAAAGGCAAATCTGTTGCCTCTGCTCTGGAAACTTATGAAGTTAAGTAAAATAATGTTAATAGTTTATTTTAACAGGCAAAGCGTCAACAACAACCCAATGATTTGAATGCTCGTATCGGTTGACGCGAACTTTCTAGGCTGGAGCTGTTGACGATCTATCGTGTTCTGATGCTGATGCCTATAACCACGTGTCTACGCGCCTCAATGATTTGAATAATCGATCCATGTTCAATATGGACTGTTCAGCTCTGAGTCGTTAATGATCTATTGTGTTCGATGCATGTTTTTAAACACCATAAATAATAGCTGACATTGTCAGTTTGAGTTACAAACGATATTATTAGAGCAGTTATATAATATTTTTTTTATTTTTTTATAAAGGTAGAGGTTAATTCTCAGGAGGTAAAAAAATTCTGGGAAGATAGAGATGCGGAAACTTTTCTCGCAAATTTAGATGTAGGTATTGCTTTTAAAATTCCCAGTTCTTGTTTCATCATAAATATAAATAATAATCTTTTGTCTCTTTAGACGGCGTTCACTATTGAGCGAACATTAGAACATAATGACTATATCAACGAAGTGGGCCAACAACGTAAAAATCTATTAAAGAAAAGAACGAAAGAACGGGAAGAGGCAAGTATGATCAGTCATATAATTGAAATATGTATCTTTTGATTATTAATACATTACCTTCTGCGATTTCTTTTAGGAGTGAGAATGTTCTACAAAGAAACCCAGGGATAGCGCATCCATTGATTATAGTGATTTAAGTGAAACTGACCTTTCTGATTTGGGTCATGAAGAGAAGGTAAGTTAGTACCAATATGTAAGAGATGACATATAAACTAATATTAAAAAGTTTCTATGTAAGTTTAGCGGGAGAACGGTAAAAGTGATGATAGCGATGTAAGTTGATATTAGATGGATTAATTGATATGCAATACAATTATATGACCAAAGTGATATATTCTTTATTAGTATGAACCAAGTAATCATTCAACCAGTTCCTCTTATTCGGAACATATTATTCGGAGAAAAAAGGTAGGCAATACCATTAATACCATTGTAAAAGTGACAACATGTAAATCAATATTAAAAGACACAACATGTAATTTAGCAAAAGATCAGTAAAGGAAAACTACCGGAAGTAAAAGTGACAGTAAGATATGATAACGGAAATGTAAGTAACATTAGATTTATTTTTAGTTAAGAATTCTTGTGAGATATTATTTTTTTTATCGGTGTTTGTATTAAATACCACCTATTTTTCAACCATTACAAATTCAGGCCAGTTCCTTAAATTCCATGTCAAACAATGTAATAATATCACAAGATTCATCAAATCAAGAACAATTACCGACTGTGATAGTTACAAACCCTACTACCCAAATCCCAAGAACTCCATCACCAAGGCCTAATGTTAGTAATATACAGGTTACTCCTCAAAAGTCGGTGCTTTTTAAAGAATCTGTTACCTATTTACAAAATCATATAAGGTTAAATGTAAATGATCAAGGAATGATCATAAAGGACAATGATACTTCGGTAGAAATTTCCAGCATAATTCGTAATTGGCTTGTAACGGTGTTATCAGTAAGTTATCATTAATTTCTTTATATGTTGGTGATAGTAAATTGTATTTATTAAAGTTTTCTTAATCTAGTCATCAAAAGAGGATTTTATAAAAGCAATAATGACCCCTTTGAGTACAGAGGCAAGCCTTGAGGATCATAATTTTCGGCAAATCTGCGAATTCGTCCTTTACGATTTGTATGTACACAATGATTTATATTTTATTTATTTATTTTCCATGGCTTACAAATTCACTGATGTACTTGTTTTTATATTTATTCCATTAGTTATTTTACAACAAAGAAAGGCCCATTAAAACGAAACATTGGTGAACGTACATTTATTGTTGAAAGGATCGTTCCCTTGTTCAAAGCAATCCAATCAATATATAATGAATACAAGTTTCACTGGATTGAAATCGAATTGGATTGCATGAGGGAAGTGAAGAAAATATTTCCGAAATTCAATTTAACAATAAACCAAGCTGATGGTTTGGGAATACGGAATTCAAGCAATAAGGCAGTTATGTTTATCGAAGTGTCTGGTGGACCCGAAAACACGGATCCAAAGCACGTGAAGGAAGATTCCGAAAAACTCCTAAAAGAATTAATATTCGGCCTTGTCTCCTTATTACGAAATTATCTGGATAAAAGTGCAGAAAAATCGAAAAATTTATATACATTCATGATTCAGAGCATTGGTAATTTATTTGCAGCACTCTATAGTCATTCGTTAATTTTAATACATAAATCTTACATGGAAATATTTGTTAGGTGACCGATTGACACTCAGTAAACTATGCCTTACAAGCAAGCACGTTTACAAAGTTTCGCAGATCAAATCTGCAACCCTTCCATTCGAATTCATCGATGTAGCGGAATTTTTGGCTGTCTTTGAACTTCTTTATGTTCTTGTGGTAGGCATTTTTAATATGCTGAATACGTTCATTGATATTTACGTGAACTTCAATATAGCATTTATATTTAATTTCCAGAGCGAGCTCGAAATTCAAACAGGAGTAATTAATAAATTAAGGTTATCCGAATCAGTCGACGGCATCATTGTACCAAGAATTCGTGATTGGATTTGGCTACCAGATTCGGTTTCTACGTGGGAATGTAAAGAGATTCAAAATGAAAATTCATGAATTACAAATGTTTCCTTTGTACATTGTACATTCTGTTTATTGGGATCTTTGCTATGAAAGAATTCGTGTTTTATTCCTTTATAATGAAATAAAAACCTCATGTGCGTTACATTTTGTAACGCCAATCACTTTTGCCAAGAAAAAAATTATTGGTTACATTATATAAAAAATAATTCATATGATGCAATGTATGTTCCTCTAATCAAAATCTTTATGAATAAAAATATCACAGTTTAGATCTATCCCGGCAAAGTCATTTTTAATTTATCTCTAGATAATATACATAGATCACGTAATTGTTGGGGTTTTAAATGTAGGCATATAAGCGATTTTTATACTTTTATATTTTTCACACATCGAATTGTAATAAAAACGTATTACTGCGCCCGGCCAGTTTATCATGTATAAATAAATTATATATTTCCCGTATCGGGTTTGTGAAATGAAAATTGCTTATTGTCTACCATGAAAATTTCGTATCACGTTGCATTGTAAGTTATTGCGGATCATTTAGCTGCAAAACATTATTTATCGCAATAGCAGATAGTGAATTCCGAATTCGTGCACGCTAGATTCGGTAATGTATTTGTTGTACCTTTAGCATCACTAATTGCTTCAGGTGATAAGCGTGTCGCATCTGATCTTAATCTTCTAACCATTTTATATATGCAGAAAAAAAATAAGTTGGCTCGCGGTTATCTATCTCTGTTATTTTTATCTGTAATAGTAGCAAAAAATATATATCAGACCCTTAAGGGCGACTCTTCGAGTCATAAATTCGTTTTCGTTATTATACGTTATTTTGACGCTGAATAAGTATCTTTATTAATTCATCATGAGGAGGGATAGGATTAAAATCAAATAAAATGGACATATATTTTGGTGATAACCCGGTAAAGAATTTTTCTTCAAAATGCTCGTTACAAAGATTGACAGTATTATTACATCTAATTAATTTCGAATAATATTCTGCTATTGAATCTCCACCTTGACGCAATAATCCACATCGGAACTTATCTATCTCATCTGCATTGACACCTACCTTGATCTCATCCACATCAATAGTACCTATTTCCCATAGAAGATGGATTGTATCGTGCAATTCTATCAGACTCAAAATTTGTGGAAGATAAAAAGCTTCAGATTGTACGAATACATGAAATAAAGCCATTGGATTTCTTATACTAGGCAGACTATATACAAATCGTTTAAGTATTTTTTCTCTCCAATGCCTGACTGCCTTTGTTTTCCAATAAGTTTTGATCTTGCAGAAAAGATCATCCCAGCCATTCCACTCATCCCAGTTTTCATTATACCAATTCTCCCTTAACCCGTATTCTTTGATAAATTCATTATAACCTTCATCTGTCTTGTCATCTGACATCTTTATATAAAGCGGGTTTATTTAATTTTGTTTGGTACACTTACTTGAATTTCTGGTAAGCTCTGTATAGCAATTATAACTTTCTTTTGATCGATATGAAAAGGACAATTAAGAAAATAGTGATCATTTTTACCGAGACAGCTCCAATCACCCCATATACCTAAACGAGTATGTACATCTTTGCATATCGGACATTTAGCTTCTGAATTAGTATATTTAAAAACATCTCGGTACCATGCATTTGATTTAGTGTAAGACAAGAAAGGGAAACATTTATGTAATGCATCATGGATTATACCTTTCTCTTCCAGAAACTTGGAAATTTTGATAATACAGTCCTGTGAAAGGTGATTATCGGTCTTTTCGATTTGTGGGGATTTGGAAGTTTCAGACTTTATCCAGGAATTGAGTCCAGCCTCTTCTGTATATGCTCTATATAAGCTTAAACAAATTTTATCTGTCAAATGACTTGGTGAATCAACCAATTTAACGTGCCAGTTTAAATATTCAGGAGTTAAGGCTTTATCCATGTTATTCTTTATATGATCGCAAATTCAAATTGAATATGAATTATGTCTTGTCTCGCTTATATAACAAGGATGCTTACGTGCTGAAACTCTGTGCATATCCCGAAATAGTAATAAAAAAATATATATATATATATAGTATTGCAAAGCAATGACCCTTCGGTCTAATTAATTTGAAATCGGAGAATTTGTCGAAGGCAGTATAACTTTATATTTTATGCTATTATCTCGATTTCAC